GCATTGAGAAAGAATGTGATACAAGTACTAACCCTAATTTGGGTTGTACCCCATATGGGCTACACGAAGCAAGCTCAGGGTGGATCACGAAGTCACCACACACTCTGAGCACAAGCAAATGGCCACAACGCCAGTTCACATACAGAGTTATATCAAGCAGAACAAGCAGTACAGTGATCAAAACCTAGCAAGTGGAAGCATGCAGGTATAAGCATATAGATCACAGTATAAGCAAAGTCAAGAAGTGAGCAAGTGAGGCCAAGTAGGCACAAGGCCTAGAACAGTACAGAAACGCTGATGATCACAAGGCTGAAGTGCCTTGGTGAAGATATCAGCAGTGTTGGCCCGAGAGGCCACGTAAGCAAGACGAAGCTGACCACGCTGCTGCAACTCTCGAAGAAGGAAGTAACGCAGAGCGATGTGCTTCGTCCTGTGCTCCAGTCTGTGCTCCTGACACAAGGCAATCATGGCCTTGTTGTCGACGTACAGAACTGGAGGAGAACGAGGCGGCTCTCCCAGGTCGGTCAGCAGGTAGGTGAGCCAGCGTAACTCCTGTGCAGCCATGGCCCCTGCATAGATCTCAGCCTCACAACTGGAACAGAGAACGGAAGACGAGAGGGTAGACCGCCAAGAAACAGAGCCGGAGCCAAGGCTGAAAGTGTAACCCTGTGACGACCGCTGCGTAGCCAAGTCGTTAACCCAAGAAGCGTCTGCTTGTCCAGTGAGGACAACTGAACCCCGTCCTCCAAGCACGAGCCCCATGTCCGAAGTAATGCACAAGTAGCGCAACACCCTCTTAGCGGCCTCCCAGTGCTCTTGTCGGTGTCTCCCGGGCGCAACGTAGCGTGCCAGGATGCTAAGGGGGTAGGCAAGGTCAGGTCGAATGCAGGTCATCAGGTACATGAGGTAGCCCACAAGCTCTGGATACGGGCCACTCGGCTCTACGGACTCGTCAGAAGGTGGAGCTGAGAGCGAGTGACCGGTAGGCAGAGGAGTGGGCTGTGGCGAGGAGTACTGGAAGCGGAAGCGCTTAAGGACTGGTGCTCCATGTGTGACTGAGTCAAGGTGATGGTGCGCCGTGCTCTGTCCCTGATGATCTGCAAGCCAAGATAGCTGCGCAGCTCACCGAGGTCTGTGCACGTGTGTCTCTTCTGCAGCTCCGACTTCACTAGGCCCAGTGCCTCAGTGTCAACAGTGGCAAAAACCAAGTCGTCGACGTACACGAGGATGTAGAACGGCGGCAGCGAAGTGTCGGTGCGTAAACAGCGACGGGTCAGCAGTCGAAGGAGCAAACCCAAGAGCCGCAAGCGTCGTCCTCAGTGTGTCGTGCCACTCGCGAGGCGCCTGGCGGAGACCGTAGACTGGCCGCCGGAGGCTCCACTGGGTACATGCAGTAAACGATCCAGTGAAGCCAGGTGGGCTGCGCAGCCAGAGCTCCTCGTGCAGGCTGCCCTGCAAGAAATTTGTGCTGAAGTCAAGAGAGTGAAGCTCGTAGTCATGCTGAGCGGCGACGTGCAGCAGCACCCGAAGAGTGGTCATCTTCGGGGTAGGGGAGAAGGTCTGGAAGAAGTCAACTCCCTGTCGCAAACTTAAGCCTCGTGCAACGTAACGCCCCTTGAAGACGGGCAGAGAACCCGGCGGCCGCTTCACCCTGAAAATCCACATGCCATCGACTATGTTCGCCCCAGGAGGGGGAACTGCGTCGACGTAAGTGCCTGTGGACTTCCAGAATGCCATCTCTGCGTCAATGGCTGTCTGCCCCTGAGAGGAGTAGGGACCCGTAATCGCCTCTGCGTAAGAGCGGAGGGTCGGGATGTCTGGTGCATTCGGGTCTCCCTCAAGTGCAATCAGCATGGACACGAGATGAGGTACAGTAGCAGCAAAACACTCAAACGAAGGGTCAGTGAAAACAGTGACTAGAAGACGTGTGACAGTAGGGCTGGCATCACGAGCAAGGTCGGACGCAGGGTCAGGAACGTCAGGAAGAGAGGACGCAGGAGGAGACGGCAGAGGGACACGCTGTGGAACAGAGGAAGGACGAAGTGCCATAGGGTGTGTGCCGGGGACAGGAGGAAGACGCTGACGAGGAAGACGACGACCAGTGCAAACAGCGCGAACAGGCGACGCAGGACGAGACGCAGGCTCAGGACGCTCTGTAAGAGAGTCTGTCTGCTCACTGTAAGGAGAAGGAGCAGGCAGTGGGGAGGCTGGCTGTAACTGCGGCTGTGACTGGTCAGGGGGTGGACACAGTAAGGGAGGCGTAAGGCCAGTAGAACACGGGACACCAAGAACCTGCTGAAGCAATGGAACGAAGTACGGTCGCGGCCGCACAGTGCCTCCGGAACCAGCACCGACAGCACCAGCACCCCCAGGGCCAGCACCTCCAGCTCTAGGGTCTCCAGCTCCAACGCCTGCAGCACCACCAGCTCCAGCAACTCCAGTACCTCCAGTACGAGCACCTCCGGGACCAGCGGCTCCAGCACCTCCAGCTCCTCCAGCACCAGCAGCTCCAGCACCTCCGGTACCTCCAGCTCCAGCGCCTCCAGCTCCAGGGTCTCCAGCTCCAGCGCCTGCAGTACCACCGGCTCCAGCAGCTCCAGTACCTCCAGTACGAGCACCTCCAGGACCAGCAGCTCTAGTGCCTCCAGCTCCAGGGCCTCCAGCGGCAGGCCCCCCAGCTCCAGCAGCGCCATTCCAAAGGCGGGTGCACCGAGCAAACCACTCGCGCAGCTGCGGTGGAGAGAGAGGCTCCCGCTGTGACGAGTAACCCGTAGGGCCTCCAGCAGACAAAGTACCTCCAGGCTCAGCACGCTCAGGCTCAGCACCCCCAGGCTCCACACGCTCAGGCTTTGTACCCCCAGGCTCCGCACCCTCAGACTCAGCAACCCCAGGCTCAGCACCCCCAGGCTCAGCACGCTCAGGCTCAGCACCCCCAGGCTCCGCACGCTCAGGCTCAGCACCCCCAGACGCAGCACCCCTAGCAGCACCACCCCCAGCAGCACCAGAGTCGTCAGCGACCTCGACAGGCTCGACAGGGTCTACCTGAGACACACCCGAGGGAGCAGGACCCTGAGGGGGGAGGGGGTCTACCGGAGGAGGACCTGGAGGGAGGAAGAGCGGCGGGGGGGGGGGAGGGGCAGTGCGGTAGGGGAAGAGACGGTAAAAGGGAACCGACTCGTCAAACGTGACGTCCTGAGAGGGCAGGACACGGCGCGAGGTGGGGTGGTAAAACTGCCAGCCAGGCGCGTCAGGGGGAAAGCCAAGGAAGACGCAGGGAATGGCGCGGGAGGAGAGCTTGTCCGCGGAAGTATCGCGGACAAAGGCACGAGAGCCCCAGACCCGGAACACCGACGCATCGCCAACCTTCCCCGTCCAACGCAGTGTAGGCGAGGTCTCCGGCAAGGAGACACGGGGCCAGAGGTTGAGCTGATGCGCAGCGTACCGGACCGCAAACAGCCACAGAAAATGGGGGGCAGCCGCATGGATCATGGAGGTACGAGCGACCTCCATGACTAAGCCAATGCGGCGCTCAGCAACCCCATTCTGCTGCGGAGAGGCCAGAAGCGTGAACGACTGGAGAATGTCCTCCACACGACAAAAGTCCCACAAGAGGTCGGAGGAAAACTCACCACCTCTGTCAGAGTATCGCTCGCGGCACTGTCCACGGACGCGGGCTGGGCTCCACACGTCCATGTGGAGAGTCTGCAGGGGAGCAGTCGTCGGGGGAAACGAGGAGGAGTGAGGAGCGGCGCGCTGCCGCCCCTCGACACAGGGAAGCCAGGGAGGGGCAGGCGAGGGTGGGAGGGGAGGCAGAGACCTGGGAAGACCAGAGACAAGGAGGCGGGAGTGCATGCCATGGAGGCATGGCAGGGAGGGGTGACCAAGGCGGTGGTGCCAAAGGAGAGTCTGGTGCGACAGGAGGCGACACGAGCAGGGGGCTGCAAGCTGACCTGACGCGGACGCAGACGCAGCTACCTGAGGAGGCTCAGTAGTCAGTGTTGTTGGTGCAACCCTACGGTTTGCACTCGGCTTGTTGTCCGTGTGCGTGCATGCGTGTGTGCATGGAATGGTATGAGGGCATGGGATAATATATATTTCATGCTTATAATAATGTGTGAATGTTGAGTCATGATGCTGGATGTGTGTGTCGAGTCAATAGCGAGTTATCGCTAGTCGCGTGTCACGCGGTCGTTTGTGTCCCGTGCGCGGTTTCTATTTTGTCGTGTGTGGAACGTTCGGCGTGTCGCAGGTGTGTGCAGCAGACCCATCAAGAACTCAAGGATGAGTTTATGGTGAAGAACCAGAGCCTTGGTGTCAAGATTCAAGTGATCGCGAAGCCCGCGAAAAGGGTACACATCAAGATATTGAGAATAGTTGCATTACTTTGTGTAGTGTAATATTTCACTTGGTGTAGGCCCTTGTGAAGGGTAGTTTCGAGACCCTTCGTGGTTGGGGATATTGTGGCACTGTTCCACATCACTGTATCTTGGCTCGTGGGGTTAGTAGGAGCTGGGAGTCATTCCCAACTCGTATCCTAATTTGTGTTCTAAGACTACAGTGGCTGCCATAGTACCGTTCGTTCAAACCAACGTTGCGTCGTCAATACTTGATGAATTCGTGCGATGTAAATTGCCTATTGTAGGCAACATCAAGACGCTCCAGATCCATTTTATAGCAAGTCATTTGAAGCTGTGAACCGAACGCTATCAACGTTTGAAGCCGCTGTGCAGAAATCCGACGGTGCACTCTATCTTTTGTTTTAGGCACATTCAAGCCTACTCTGACAATAACAAGTGGTATCAGAGCCCCTTGGAGCAGTTTCGACAATGGCTGTACCTGACGAAAGGGGTGGCAGAGGTGCTAGTGGCAGTGGAGAAGCCCAAGCTTAAGGCCAACCCCGTGATCCCATGCAACCAAGTCTTGGCCCAGCTAGGGATGAGCCTAGGGTGTTTGGGCTTGACAAGTTCAATGGCGACAACTTTGCTGAATGGTCCTTCACGATGGAGAAAGTATTCGACCATTATGAACTGCTGGAGGTGATGGAAGGAACGGAGAAGCGTCCCGAGAACGACCCGGAGAAGAGCCCGTGGGTGCGTAAGAGCGCACAAGGCTATCTCCTACTTGGGCAAGCGTTGGGGAGCAGCCAAATCCGTCACATCAAGCCATTCGAGCGTGAACCAGAGAAGGGACCAAAGGCATGGGCTGCTCTCAAGGGTGTACACACTCCTGCAACAGCGGCAGTAGCGGTGGTGTTGGAACGGCAAATGGCGACACTACGTATTGATGAAGATGAACCCGTGGAAGAAGGGGTGCAGAAATTCTTCGACTTGTTGACACGGCTTGAGGGAGCTGATCTGAACTACAGTGAGCTCCAAAAGAAGACCAAGTTGCTGGCCTTACTCCCAGAGTCATAGTCCTCGCTCATCATCAACCTCAATCGTGACTTGCCCCGCCTCTCGCTTGAAGACGTGAAGCGAGCGATCCTTCAAGAGGATTTCCGCCGCCGTGAGTTGGTGAGTGCGGATGGCGCCGGGGCAGCAAGCATCGGCCGGGGGTGCGGCCGTGGAAGGGGCAGAGGACGAGGGGGAGGCAGATTTGGCAGCAACAACTTCAATGGAGGCCGCGGGAGTGGCGGATACGGCAGCGACGACAAGAGCTACAGACACGGTCGCGGCCGATTGGACGGCGAGTGTCACTATTGCTACAAGAGCGGACACATGTGGCGTGATTGCTACAAGCTCCCTGATGGATTGACCCCTGCTCAAGGCCAAGAGGGTAGAGGAGCAGGAGGAGGGAGAGGAAGAGGCCGTGGAGGCCGTGTCGGTTGCGGAGGTGGTGCTGCAAACATGAAGAGTGAAGGCAACAAGAACGAGTCGAGGGACAATCGCTTTCCGGGCCAATTCTTCTTTGTGTGAACGCAAGCACCGGCTGAACCAGAGAAAGTGGAAGGCTTCGAGGAGCCAGCTGCTGTGGGAAAGGTGACCCTACACTCCCTGGACTATTGGGTGATCGATAGCGGCGCTACCAGCATGACTCCTCGCGCGGACTTGCTCACCGAACTCGAACCGTCACCGGTGAAGCATGTCACATCGGCTTTGGGGCAGCGAGCAGAGGTGAAAGGCATGGGCAAGGCCATGTTCAAGGGTGCTGATGGGAAGATGGTGGGCCTCAAGAACGTGCTTTGGGTGCCTAACCTAGCTGCGAACCTGATTTCCGTGCGGCGGTTGCAAAAGGCCGGCATGGACACGAGCTCGAAGGGAGCCAAGACCTACACCGCAAGGATTGGCGAGCGGATTCTGTGGGAACTTCATGAGGATAGGGATGTCTACAACGAGATGTGGCAGATCCCTGTGGTCCCCATGCCTAAGGAGAGGCAAGTGGCAGCAAGCATCAGCACCAAGGGTGAAGCGGTTGGTAGCGGCTACGGCGCGAACGATGGCGCCAAGGCGAAAGAGTCCAACAAGTGCAATCTTGGAGGGATCAGCAAGTCGTGTGATCATAAGGCGAGTGGAGCAGCAGCCAAGGAGGAGCAAAAGGGTGAGGAGAACCCCACGGCAGCAGCGGAGGAGGAGTACGGAGAGAGCATGTGGGGGACTATTGCGAGTGCGGCATTCTCCAATCCGACTTCGGCTACGGGGGAGTGTGATTGGCTCACCTTGCATCGGCGAATGGGGCATGTCGCCCTGCCCATCTTGCAGCAGCTAGTGAAGAATGAGATGGTTGCTGGCTTACGTGTGAAGGGGGAGCCAATGAGGTACTTGGCTGATCGACGTGCATGCAAGCCAAGTTCACCCGTTTCCCGTTGTCTAGTTCGGAGGCAACGGCTAAGGCACCACTTGATGAGGTGGTGATGGACGTGGAGGGCCCCTTGAAGCTTGGAGCTGCTGGAGCGGAGTAATTCCTCACCATTGTGGACGTCTACACCCGCATGACCTGGGTGTACGTGCTGTCCAAGAAGAGCGACGTGGCTGAAACGGTGAAGACCGATTGGTTGCCGATGGTGGAGCGGCAACAAGACCGTCTTGTGAAGTCAATCCGCACCGATCGAGGGGGAGAGTTCCTAAGCAAGGAGTTCTCATTGTGGCTGAAGAAGAATGGCATACGACACTCTCTTACTATGCCATACTCCCCTGCAATGAACGGCATCGCCGAGCGAGCGAACCGGACTATCACGGAGACGGCACGCGGGTTGCTCATTGAAGCCGGGCTACCCGATTACTTTTGGCCTGATGCGGTGCGGAGTGCGTGTGTGGCCAAGAACAGAGCCTTGACTCATGTGGGAGCAGACAAATGGGTGCCCTATGTGGAGTGGATTGGAAGGAAGCCCAAGGTGGATACGCTTCGGGTGTTCGGGTGCATGTGCATGGCGCTCGTGCCTAAGCATCTTCGGCACAACAAGCTCGGTGCCAAGGCGATATGGGCTGTGCATTTGGGCATGGCTCAAAACAGCAAGGGATGGCTTCTTTGGGACCCATTCACCAAGACGTTCTTGGTGAGCAGGGACTGCAAGTTCATGGAGAACCTGATGTTGTACAAGGACTGGAAGGCGGAGAATGAGGCTAAGATAGGCGTGCGGTTTGGGGAGGTGAAGAGTTCTGGTTTGGAGCACGTGGAGCTGCCCTTGGAGCTGAGCAGCGGCAGTACCACCACAAGGCAATCTTCCCTTGTGAATGGGGGAGAGGAGGCCAAGGATGCAGAGGAAGAAGAGGAGGAGGTGCAGGAAGTGAGCGAGCATGCACCGACACTTCCTTCACGCGCTACGAGTGCTCCACGGATCCGAGTCACCCCGCAGCAACGCCAAGGCCTTCATGTCCCTGCAGCTGAGGAGGAAGGAAGGGGCAAGAGGAGAGTTCAAGCCCCTAATAGGCTGACCTATGATGCACCGGGAAAGCAGGGCAAGTCAGCCCTGGCCGGAGCGGCAATGATGGTCGGAGATGATGAGGAAAGTGAGTACGATTAATGTGCGTTCGTGTCCTTCTCTCCGGTGGAGATGCCGGGAGAACCAGCAACTCTCAAGGAGGCCTTGGAGAATAGTGACGCTGAGGAGTGGAAGAAGGCCATGGAGGGCGAGCTGAAGAGTATTGAGGAGAATGACACGTGGGAATTGGTGGAGCTACCGGAGGGACGTAAGGCGATAACGTCCAAGTGGCTCTTCAAGATCAAGTCCGACGCCGACGGCAAGATCGAGCGCTACAAGTCTAGGCTTGTAGCCAAGGGGTACTAGCAGAAGGAGAAGATGGACTTCAAGGGGTTGTTTGCTCCTGTGGTGAAGCCGACGACGCTGCGGACCCTACTCGCGGGGGCTGCCATCAAAGGATGGGTGGTGAAGCAGATGGACGTGACAACCGCGTTCCTCAACGGCATTCTCGAAGAAGATATTTTCTTGGTGCAGCCAGAGTGGCAGAGTTTTGAAGCTGAAGAAGGCCCTCTATGGGCTGAAGCAGGCCCCTAGGCAGTGGTACTTGAAGCTGCGCGAAGTGTTGGAGGAGATCGGCTTCACTCCTTCAACGGTCGATCACTCCTTGTTCATGCTTGGCGAGGGGGAGCAGAGGAGCTTCATGGTGGTCTATGTGGACGACATCCTCATCTTCTCACCCTGCTCTGACCTTGTGAAGGAGGTGATGCTGAAGCTTCAGGATAAATTCAAGTGCAAGGCCTTTGGTGATGTGAACTTCTACCTCGGGCTTCACATCGTGCGTGATGTGGAGAAGCGGTGCATGCGGGTGCATCAACGCAAGTACCTGGAGGCCTTGGCTGCCAACTTTGGGCAGAGAGAAGGCCATGTGGCTACACCCTTTCCCTCTGGGTTCAAGTGTGTGAAGGGACCAGAGGAGGAGAGCGTTGCTGAAGAGGAGAGGCGCCGTTTTCACTCGTTGGTGGGCAGCCTCATGTATGCTGCGGTAAGCACTCGGCTGGACGTTGCCTTTGCTACCGGGCAGTAGGCTAGGGTTGTGCAATGCACTAATTAGGAGCAGGTAGCAGCTGGAATGAGGGTGGCCAAGTATCTTGGCCAAACACCGACCGTTGGGCTGCAATACTCGGCGGCGGCGCAAAGGCGCCAAAAGGGCGCGGATGGTGTTGAACCCGGACGTTTGTTCCTCACCGCATTCTCGGATGCTTCTTATGCATCGGAACCAGAGGACATGACAAGTGTGGGAGGCTTCATATGCTGTGTTGGTGGAGGCCCAACTGCTTGGGAGAGCAAGAAGCAGGTTGATCAAGCATTGAGCTCGGTGGAGTCCGAGTACATGGCACTCTTCCGTGCCGTACAGGAGATTGTGTGGCAGCGGCGTTTTGTTGGCTGAATTGGGGGAGGAGCAGCAAGGACCTACCCCACTCTACTGTGACAGCCAGGGTGCTATTGCACTAGCTAAGAACCCCGTGCTGCATGGCCTCACCAAGCACATGAGAGTGAAGTGGCATTGGACGAGGAGCATGGTGGCCGCGGGTGAAGTTGAGCTGCACTACGTAAAGACGATGGGGCAGCCGGCAGACATGATGACCAAGAGGCTGGTGGAGCAGCAAGCTGGCTGGGATGGCTCTGAACTGAGAGGAGCAGATCCTAAGGACAACAATCCGAGGGGGAGTTTGTTGGTGCAACCCTACGGTTTGCACTCGGTTTGTTGTCCGTGTGCGTGCATGCGTGTGTGCATGGAATGGTATGAGAGCATGGGATAACATATATTTCATGCTTATAATAGTGTGTGAATGTTGAGTCATGATGTCGAATGTGTGTGTCGAGTCAATAGCGAGTTATCGCTAGTCGCGTATCACGCGGTCGTTTGTGTCCCGTGCGCGGTTTCTATTTTGTCGTGTGTCTCGTGCGCGGTTTCTATTTTGTCGTGTGTGGAACGTTCTGCGTGTCGCAGATGTGTGCACCAGACCCATCAAGAACTCAAGGATGAGTTTATGGTGAAGAACCAGAGCCTTGGTGTCAAGACTCAAGTGATCGCGAAGCCCGCGAAAAGGGTACACCTCAAGATATTGAGAATAGTTGCATTATTTTGTGTAATGTAACATTTCACTTGGTGTAGGCCCTTGTGAAGGGTAGTTTCGAGACCCTTCGTGGTTGGGGACAGTGTGGCACTGTTCCACATCACTGTACCTCGGCTCTTGGGGTTTGTAGGAGCTGGGAGTAATTCCCAACTCGTAACTCTTCCTAACTCTTCCTAATTTGTGTTCTAAGACTATAGTGGCTGCCATAGTGCCGTTCGTTCAAACCAACGTTGCGTCGTCCGAACTTGATGAAATCGTAAATTGCCTATTGTAGGCGACATCAAGACGCTCCAGATCCAATTTATAGCCAGTCATTTGAAGCTGTGAACAGAACGCTATCAACGTTTGAAGCCGCTGTGCAGAAATCCGACTGTGCACTCTATCTTTTGTTTTAGGCACATTCAAGCCTACTGTGACTATAACAAGTGTGTACAGACTCGACCCAGGCCGACGGGTGAACGTGGCCAGATGACGGCCCGTCTGTGTACACGTGCAGATCGACACACCCTGACCCCCAGGAGTGGTGGTAATGACCATCGCATCCTCGAGGGCAGCAGTACTCACCAAGTTCGTAGAGAACGAGGGGAGGTGAAGACCTGAAAGTGAGCCGGACGGAACCGCCGGACACGGGAGAACAGTGGAGGAACGGGCAAGAACTGGGCCCCTTGAGGGGTCAGCCAGTCTGACAGCAACAGGTGTAGGGAGTGGTGTGACTGTGGTGCTGTCGCGAAAGAAACTGCGGGAAGCACCTGAGTCAAGCGTGAAGGTATGCAAGGCCTCAACAGGCGCAGTACCAGGGAGAGCAGTCTCACTAGCACCTAGAGCAGCAGCCTCTATACCTGGGTCGGGCGGCAAACACAGGTAACAGTCACCCTCAGCACTAACAGTCAAAGCATACATGGCAGCAAGGATAGCATCATAGTCAAGAGCAAAGATATCCACACCCTGCCTAAGCAACTCTAGCCAGCGGGGGAGCTCAGTCGCGTCGGGAAACTCTGCGCGCCAGGCGTCGTCAAGACGGGAGAAGCAGCGGGACTGGGTGTGACCAACCTTCCCGCATGTCTGACCAGCGCGGTCACCTGTGCGAATGACGTACTGGCAGCGAACACTACCCCCATACGCCCCACGCTGAGCAAACCACTCACGAAGCTCTTGGGGTGTAGGGGTCTCACGCTGACGCTGCTGCTGCTGCCTCTGACCACCGCCAGAACCGCCCCTCTGACCGGCTCCACCCCGACCGCCACCACTGCCGCCGCCACCACTCCCACTGCCACCACCACTGCCGCCGCCACCACTCCCACTGCCGCCACCAACGCCTCCACTCCTACCACCACTCCCTCCGCCACCACCGCCACCTCCACCTCCTCCACCGCCCCCACCACCACATCCACCGCTGCCACCCCCACCACCCCTGCCTCCCTTGCCCCTGCCGCTGCGGCGCCTCCCACTGGGAGCAGACGCAGCTCCGACCTCCTTAGCATGAAGGAAGTCAACAGCAGCAGGAGAAGCGACTGAGGGGACAAGGGGGGAGGGGGAACACCCCTCAAAGAAGGGAGTGCGAGGAGTGCCACGAGAAGCGCCTACAGTGACTATACTGGTCTCAACTGCAAGGAGGTGCTTCTCGAGCAGGTCGACAGTGAGGTCTGTGGGGTCAAGGGCGAGAAGGAGGTCCTCGACTGCGCTAAGAGAGTCAGGGAGGCGGATGACGATGAAGTAGAGAGCGATGTAAATGGGAGGGGGGTTGTTGGCTAGAAACTCGGCGGGAAGCGCGGCGCGGTAGCGAGTGTCACTAGTGCGAAGGTGACTGATGAGGTCGGCAACTGTGGCAAAGGCAGACAGCTCGGGAAACAGGTAGGGCAGTATAAGGCGGCCTAGAGCAGCAGTGGCCGGGGAGGAGTAACG